TATCTTGTTTTCTATTTGGAAATGTCAACAAAAGGGGTGAAATAGAGGAGTATGCTGGTGATTCTGAACTTCATTGTATAAATAATGTGGACATATGTCAAGTACAAGAGCTTCAGGAAAATGCACTTGAAGTTCTTTCAAACAAGGACGAATGTGAAAATGAATTAGAGAGTTATGAGGAAGTAGTGCCTATTGAATCTGCGATCGACTACTTCAACGAACTTGAGGCTATCCCTGATGTAAATCTAGCAGGGATTCCCAATGAATTCGAGGAGCCTTCGTTCGACCCTGCAGATGATTATGATGAAGTAAGCTTTATCCTGCTTTATAATAGGCTATTTTGTCAAATTCATTAATTTTCTATCCTCATATAGCCCAACCTGTCCACTGCAAATGAAAGTAATGTTTCTCGAAACACTGTCACCTTAAAGCAGTTTGAATACGAGTCTATCTTAACCGACTCTACAAGCAGCACTCCCGTATCCAATGCAGCAGGGGCCGACAACCAAAGCACTTCTCATGTCCTTCTTGAGGCTGATGAAAAAAATGTTTTATATCGAGATCATTCTACCTCTGTTCATCGTTACGAAATAGCTCTTTCTGCGAGTAACAATAGAAAGGCCTTTCCATTTCTAGAAATGACCGGAAAAAGAGAAGAACAAATCTTAGATAAATTTACTACTGTAGAAACAATACCTCAAGCTTCTGCAGAGATGCCTCCTCCTTTACATCCCGCCCCTATATCTGCTTCCCGGACGCTTTTTCATGCGAAAGTAAGCTGGTTATAATATTATATATTTTTTGTAGATAATGTAGTATTGGTGCTACTTTTGAATAAATCTGATTTGCAGTGCCTTACTTTTATTATTTTGCTCTCTTCCATCCACTTTATTCTTTTGTACAAGGCATTGACCGTTCACTCTTGTGAATTTGATAAGAACTCGCAGGGTGTACCCAAGCACTACACAACATATCCGGTTTCCACCAGCAACAATGCAACTTCAAATAATGCAGACGTTCTTCTACCAGAATTCAAGGATATTCTCAACACACCGCTAGCTAACCTTATGCCACCAGAATACGCCGATGTGGACATTCGAAGTCTTTTTCCGGGCTATTCTCCTGACGAAACTCTTCATTGGAGCACTTTATTTAAGCCAATCCATCCCCTGACAACGTATAAGGACATAAAAATGTCACACTTCTCGGACAAGGTGAGTAACATCTAAGTTTTATAAATAACTTTTCTATGTTTTGAATGTGAATGGTATTTTGCAAATAATCAGATTGAGAAATTTTAACTTTTGTTTATATATTCTATTATAAAAGCTAGAATGTACCCCCTTTTACTCATATTGTACAGCCATTTGCATCATAATTCTGATTCTATACTCCGTTT